GCTCACTGAATACAGAAAGTTGCTCATAATAGTAAGTAAAGCAGCACTTCATTCGGAAGGGGATGCGGGGGATATGGGAAGAAAATAAGATCCGAGCTGCTGAAGTGATTAATGGGGCTGCTTATGATGAAGGAAATGAAGAGTAGAAATCTGGGTAAGCAATGACCGCTCCAGGAGAACGAATTTCATTGGAACTACGGAACAAACGGATATGCCGACCTCCCGCCAGTTACTGCTGGAGTTTTAAAGCAAGCCCTGGGATAGCGTTTAAAGTTTTGCTCTCGTTGATTGGCGGCTGCCCGGAGTTTCCAGCGCCAACGTAAGAAGGCTTTGCTGGGAGATGCACAACTGCCGCCACCTGTTCATTTTTAATGCTGAGACATCTGAGAGAGAAATTGGAATGAAGGGGTTTCAGTAGCACATTTAGCACTGCCCATTAAGCATGAGTGAGACAGAGAAGGATGGAGGTCACCGATATACATGCTGACGTGCATTTCTATGCAGGCAGAGTATGTTCCGTTTCTGCATAACAAGACCTCGACAGTACTGCTGATTAGGGTAACAGCTGTTTGCAGAAAGATTGGTGTATCCCCATTCCCATCTTCTATCCATGGCACTTACCTGGGCCCCATTACTGCAGTATCTGAGTGCACCTCACTTGTTACTGTATTTATCCTCACAACATCCCTGAGCAGCCGGGAAGCTTATCCCAGGTGGGGAATCAAGGGCTGGAATGTTTAAAGTATTTAGGCACCTAAAGATGCAGAAGGTGCTTCGTGGGATTTTCAAAGGCCCCAGAGGCACCTAACTCCCACTGAAAGCCCTTGAGGAGAGGTCTTTGCCCTGTAAACCCATATGCTTTAGGGCAGGGGTTTTCATACTTTTTGTATTGTGACCCCTTTCACACAGCAAGCCTCTGACTGTGCCCCCCCTTACAAATTAAAAATGGGGGGATTCATTTAATTTAATGGGGGCTCAGGGATGTCAGCCCCACAGAGCTGACAGTGTGCGACCCCCAGTTTGAGAACCCCTGCGTTAGGGCAAAAGCAGCTCCAGCGAAGTGGTGTCTGAGGGAAAGCAGTAGAATCTCCAGGCCTGCTTCTGATCTTGCTTTTACACCAGGATAATGGCATTCTCACGTCACACTGGTGTAAGTAGGATCAGAATCAGGCCCTCAAGAGCCTTCAGCACAAAAGCAAAAGAAAAAGAAAAAAAGGGCGTAACTGCCAGTCACTGGGATGGCAAACGTAAGAGGAAGAGCAAACAATGAAGAGCTCTAGTGTCTCTACTGCTGTAAGTGCAGGCTTACCCACAGCCTGGCAGGTTGGAATCCTACAGAAAGCTCCTGGAAAACAAATGTTGATTCTGAATGATCCGCTCATCGCTAAATCATTTCCTATCATTATTAGCCTCCAAATTGGTTCTGCTCTGGGAGACTGAATAAGGTTTTAACTCAGGAAAGCAGTGTGTGTCTTAAACGAGTGCTTCAAGTGAAAGTATTCTGTAAACATTACTCAGACCCCTTCTTGTGCATAAATCCCCAGCTGCCCTGCTTGGCTTTGCATAGATTTTCTGCTGCTGGTTTAAAGACAGGTGTCTGAGGGATTCATTCAGGAGATCTAAAATAAATCATACAATAAACCACCTGCAATCCTGAGTGCCAAAAATTAGTAGGGTGATTCTTGTCTCACTTCCACCAGCATAAAGTCCTCTGAGGGCAGGGTGACCAGAGAGCAAGTGTGAAAAATCGGAACGCTTTTTTTTCAGGGGCGGGGGTATAGCTGCATATATAAACCAAAGCCCCTAATATCAGGACGGTCCCAATAATATCAAATGGGTGCGACCCAGAGACCAGAATCTAAACACAAATGTGTATTTGTAAAGCACAGTCTTCACTGAAAGAGTCACAGTTTGTAATGACATCACTCACATTCATTTACACAGATTTAAGGGTCTCAGATATCTTTTGCTTAAGTCTGATTTTTTAAAAAGTTAAATGGATGTCTCTCAGTTTGCGGAGCAGCTGGAATAAGATGGTCGCAGTCTCTGCTAATGATTAGGAGGACATAGGGAAATACTGTAATGAAATACCCATGGCTGACCCACGTCAGCTAACTCGGGCTTGCAGGGCCCTTTAATTGCACTGTAGACATTCAGACTCAGGCTGGAGCCTGGGCTCTGGGACTCTCCCTCGTCCCGGGGTCCCAGAGCCCGGGCACCAGCCCGAGCCTGAAAATCTACACTGCACTTAAACAGCCCCAGAGCCCCAGCACTGCGAGCCCGGGTCAGTTGACCTGGGCCAGTTGCGGGTGTTGAATTGCAGTACAGTAACTCCTCACGTAAAGTCGTCCCAGTTACCATTGTTTCGTTGTTACGTTGCTGATCAATTAGGGAACATGCTCGTTTACAGTTGTGCAATGCTCCCTTCTAACGTCATTTGGCAGCCACCTGCTTTGTCTACTGCTTGCAGGAAGAGCAGCCCGTTGCAGCTAGCTGGTGGGGGCTTGGAACCAGGGTGGACCGGCAGCCCCCGATCAGCTCCCCACTCCCCTAAGTTCCCTGTGCTGCAGCTGCCTGCAGTTCAGCTGTGTCCCTCCCCCCACGGCCATGTGCTGCTCCTGCCCTCTGCCTTGGAGCTGCTCCCCAGAGACTCCTGCTTGCTGTGCGGGAGGGAGGGAAGGAAGAGGGAGGCTAATGTCAGGGTGTCCCCCTCTCCCCTGCACCCCGCTCACCCCATCTTCCATAGAGCA